TGCCCCACGTTAAGACATTAAAAAACTTTGATTACTTTGATTTGATTGAAGTTAATAAGGGGTCGTTTGTCAATGGAATGAATTGTCCGAACTTCATTGCTTATAAAACGAGTCGCTCATGTTTAGAATTTGCACTGTGCAATCTCCCCTGCTTACGTTGAATCATGATAATTCAAAATTGTGCTTACTATCCTTTTTGTATATAAACATCTCTTATTTGACGTTTTGGAATGTAGTATCGTTAAGTATTTTACGAGTTATGCCGTATTTTGACGAGTCCGTAGCGCAAGTCAAAATACAAACAGCGGGAATATTTTTCTACAGAAGCGTTGATAGGAAAGTTTGTCGCAGAGAGTCGTAATCTGACGGCTGAAACATTTCTTTGTACAAGCTGGGCCAAATTCTGTAAGATGAAAAAATGAAATTGAAGTCGGTGAAAACATTCAAATTTTCACGCGATTAGTTTGGTATTTTTATCGAGGAAGAACGCTTAACTTACCATTTTAATTATCTGGATCAATCTTGCTAAATGGTCCAGCCATCTGACCTCCTATTTGGAAAGAACTAGGTCTGGAATCGCTTCATGCTTTAGCTAAGCGTAGATCGAGTTAAAAAGACATACGGAAAGTTTGGAGAGCACGAGAGAAGCTTAAAAGTTGTTTGAGGCCGGTAGCCGAGAGCAACTCTAGCTTTTCTTGTGTTCTCCAAACTTCCCTCGTTCATTCATATACGCACAGCTAAAGCATGAACCAATTCTTTTATAAAATAGCACTCAGACACAAGTTGGAAAGATCAAACCGCAGACCGAAGAATCCGCAAAGCTCTGAAAAAAATTTTAAGATCCACGTAAAACAGGCATTTTTATTTCATTTTAGAGCCGGCTTAGTCAGTTACAAGAGAAGCAAAACTGTATTTGACTGTTTTCCCAGTTGAATAAATCCTACAATTAAAGCCCGATTTGATAATGTCAGTTGACAGACCGTTGATACATGCGATCGCGTAACTCTTCTCTTGAAGTTGTGCAAAAAATTCGCTTCACTACCCATTGTAGGCTTGCGGTCAAAACGTTTTGCATTTCACGGCTCCTACGGAAAGCTTTGTTTCTTTTTCGTGGCTTGACCGGAAACGATTTCAAGAGAATTGTGATATGATTGCGGATATCAACGTTTCATCCAAAAGATCGAGTGTGCCGCTTATACACTATACATGTACGTGGAATATTTAAAATTAACTCCTCTCCTTTCTTTGCTTACGGATATTTTGATAAAAGTCTTTTTAGTCTAATATTTACCCAGAGCCGTGTCCTGATTTGTATCGTAATTATTTTAACTTTTGTCTCTACCCTTAATTTTCTTGAGATAGACACCACTTCTTCATCCCTCTCTACGCAAAGAAAACAGAATCGCTGGTGTTGAGTAACGCAGCGCAGGTAACGTAGATCGAAACTTTCTTTTTAATTCTGATAATATTAAATTTCAGTTTAATAAAATGTACATATAATTAGCAACCTTTTCGGCTTAAGATCCAGAATAAAATGATAGTCACTAACTTCTCTCGCTGGAAAAATGGATGAATAACTGTAATAAAACTCATCCTAAATCTTTTCATGTCTTATAAAATAATGTAGATCTTTTTCTGGCTTTTCTTTTGCACATCGAATCGTGATGGGTGGCAAAAAATAAAACATAGCTCTAAATACTCGCCAATGTCAAAGTAAACATTTTGGTGGCTCTAATGACGTACTCTGTGTTGCTTTTAACTTATTACATCACGTATCTATTCGATTTTTCGAATATGCTGTAGTTTAGTTGTGCACATTACAAAACAAGGCCTTTCTTGGAGCATTTTGCAGCATACATATAACAATTGGAACTATCTTGCCTTCATAAATAAAAAATGACGGTTTTTGGACGTCGAGTGGAGCAGGTGTTCTTCATTTGCATACAGCTTCTGTCATAAGTTGTGGATTTAAACACCACGATCAAAAAAATTAGGCATAATGCTATTACTTCGTTATTCCCATGCAGGAATCTCTCTTACTATAGCTTTAAATCAAAAACTATAGATTTGGAGAAAAAAAAAAACCGCTGTTATTGTTTTAGGTGGCTGAATGCAAATCGGATATTCTTATGGCGCAGAGAGAATTAAAAGCCCTTTCCTTTCGTGGTGAAAAAAAAAAAGTTACTTTCGTAAAGTATGCTACAATGTGGTGAAAATAACTCAAGGTACATGTTCTTTCCCCCTCCATGATAAAATTTTTTACAGCTTTTGTCTTGTGTTGCTTTGTTTTGTTTTGTTTTTTTTATTATTGCCATGATATTTTCTTTAAGTAAACCATTTCCGTTGTTTAGGTTAATCTATTCAGTCTTGGTTGCGCTCAAGCTGCAATTTTTCTTTAAAATGTTTGCGATGAGAAGAGGAAACGTGTGACGTGTGAGAAGGATGGACTTAAGTGCAGCGATAGCAAACGTGTTGTCGTTAGAACTAGCTTTAGTGTTAACCTTTCTTATTTCGTTGTGTTCTTGTGCATGATATATTTTTCTGAGAGCGGTCCCTCTCTACCCAGAAGAAGAAATAACCGTCTCCTAAAAGTAGTACGAATCTTACGCAGTCCCGGGAGAAAACGTTCCAGTAATATTGCATCGACCGATATCAGAATGACCAGGCTATTTTGTTTATTTGAATAATAAATTACGAAGAAGTCCTTCGTCTCAGATGCTAAACAACATGAAAGAAAATGTATCTGTACACACACCGACGTGTGCGGTTGTATCAGGTATCTCGTCAGTAGACAGAAACAAAAAACCAAGAATGAGACGTGTTCAACGTTATCGTTCACAACAAACTGCATAAAGCTGAGAGGTTCAGTAAATAGCTTCTTAGTCTCTTTCCTCACGAAATAATAGTTATGAGACAAATGCATTGAAAAGTATGGTTTAGTGTGTTCTGTTAGAATACCATTGTTTGTATAATTTGAAATATTGTGTTCAGAATTTCTTTTAACACGAAACCAAGCGAAAATTAAGCTTCTGATAAGGCTATTAGCCAAACGCATCTAGATTTAAAAGTGATTACGTCAATTGAATTTAAAATTGATTGGCGGGTGGTATTGCTTTAAAAAGATTAACCAGTAAATTACGGGAAATTTAAAAGCTAGTTCAAAGTCGACGCACGTTCGTATCAATGATACGCAAAGTTGGATCATCACAAAGAAATCCTTATTTTTCAAAGCTGAAATGAACAATTCAAGTGATGAAACTTTTTTGGATAAATCTAAGTGTCCACATGTTGTTTCTGAGTTGCTCACAGCAACAATTTACTTCATCAGTATTTGGGCATTTATCGGAAATAGCCTGGTGACAGTTGCAATCCTGAAAAACGTTACGCTGAGAACAAGCACAAACTATTTCATTGTGAACATGGCCATCTCTGATATCCTAGCCGCTGTGATGACCTGGCCGCTGTACGCAATTGAGGGAATGCATTCTGGAAAGCGTGTAATTGGTGACTCCATGGCTACACTCGTATGCAAGGTTTGTATCTATTCGAGAACTATTTCCCAAGCTGTGTCAGTTATCAGCCTCACGTTGGTCGTCGTGGAGAGATTCATCGCCATTGTGCGTCCTTTTCAAGCCACGAGGGTAACTGGTCGACGTCGAGCCATATTACTGCTATCCACTTGGATCTTTTCGGTAACGGGAGCTTTTCCCTACGTCTGGTTTTCCAAAATAGTCCAAGAAAATCGTCACACATTTTGTAGGTTCGCTTGGGACAAAGAAAAACTTCGCATATTCTACGCCGCAGGATTTGTCATATTCTACTGCGTTCCTTTTTCTGTAATAACTATACTTTATTCCAAAATTATGAAATCTTTGAGACAAACACGGCCGACAACAAATGAAGTGCAACAAAATGTAGCAATCCGCAACAGACAACAGAATCAGATTATCATGAAGGTCTTTATTTCTATCGTCGCAGCATTTTTACTGTGTTGGACCCCATTGTGTGTTTATTTAATTCTTAAAATCGTTTTACCCTCATTGTATAGCAAAGATTCGTGTTTACTATCTTTAGCTCTGTTTTTCTACATTTTCCCTTCTATTAGCACTGCCGTTAATCCTGTCATATTATTTGTATCTAGTTCAAGATTCTACGCGGCACTAAGGAACATGTTTTGTTTCACGGCGTGTTCGTTTACTTGTGGTAGAGAAGCTAGGGTTGCACCACAAAACGAATGAACGTACCACCAGCTGCAAGATAAACAAGGAACAAGGATGCAGAGTTAAAACGTTAAAAAGAGATCAGTACGTCTTTTTCTTTCCACCTTCAGTAAAACTCAGATTTCACTAAATCGTTGTGGTTTCAATAGTTAAGGCATATAACAATACTAAAACGGAGCCAGCGTCAAATAACATTTTGGCATAATAGAAAACCAAGGTCAGTAAGTTTTCTGAAGATTAAATATTTAATTTAAATTGATAGATGCTAAATAGAGTACCTCATATTTTTTATCTACTCTAAAAATCGCAGTCGCGTGTTGCTAATGCATATCGATATAGTAATTTGAAGGGTATGTTAACGACACATCGACAAAGACGGCTTACGACTGATTACGTGTGAATTTCTCCATTTTAAAATCTATTAGATATTGAATCGTTAAGATGAAAACTGAGAACCGTGAGTATTACCAGAAATTTAAGCGGAAACAACGTTGTCTAGTCGAGGGCTAAAACTCTTAACAAATGATAATGATGATAGCCAAATGGTTTGGATAGCAGCAAATACGTCACGAATTTAAGAAAATATACAACTTTTTAAAAATATACGCCTTTTTCACTGTCGAAACATGTTATTTTTTTTAATCTCGCATATTTTCTTAAAGTAATGATGATAACAATAATGATAATACCAGCAATAATAATGAATGCTAGATGTATTTCTGACCGATGACACATCAGTTTACTTTGCTAAAGGGCTCCGATATTCCTTTCACCTGTTCGGGACAGTTTTCCAAGGAATTTCCATTCAATATTGAATTCTTAACTATTAGCAGTGATAATTGCATCAGTTTTTGAATAAGAACTGACAAATTCTCAGTAAAAAAACGTAGTGTAACATTTATTGAATTAGTGGCTCTTCGTCTTTTAATCAAACATTGCATGGTAAAGTTAAAAAACTAAAAAAAATTCGCTGTTCTTTTGCATACAAGTAACCTTTAGAAAGTATACGATTGCTGTGTAGTTTTTTCCTTGAAAAAATTATTTGTTTCCGAAAAAACCAAAAAAACCGTTTTGTTTTCAGTCCCGGGATCAAGTTGGCGACAACGAACAGGTTTAAAATAGGTAATGATTCACTCGACTCGCGTATCAAACCAACTGCGCTAGAAAAAGCTATCATAGTTCCAAGTTGTTGTACAAGTTGTCATAGTCTAAACACCGTGAGGTCATAAAGATTAGATTATTCCCAGTATTCAAGACAAGTCAAAACCTTATGGCTCTTCCGTGTTGCGTAATGCGGTAGGCGAAAAACAACGATAATTTTGAGCATGTGCCTTAGTTCAGAATTTCGTAAGATTACGAATGATAATACTAGAGTTGATTATCTTTCAAAATATGTAAAAATTAGTTTGGGGAAATGAATTTGGAATTTTTCACAATTTTTTAAATATCGTGAAGGAAGACATAAAATCACGCCATCCTGTTGTGTACATGCGACAATCAAGACATTGATATAAGAAAAATTAACACAACTCCGATGCATATAGTAAAGTAAATATAATAACCTTAACTCAAATATTATATTCTTAGCTGTTCGTAAGAGCCCAAAGTTTTCCTGTTTTACCGTTTTCTCCATTTTGCGGTCTCCGTAAGTTTGACATCTGCACCGTCGCTTTATGTCGCGTCTCGATCAAAACGGCTGCTCCTGAAAACGTCTAAACTTTGCAATTTGTGTTCCTTGTGCGCTTGATACGACATGTTGATATTCTTTGCGAGTTATCTATCGTCAATCTTGCTTATCATTTATCCGTTGTTTGACAGAGGCCGACTGAGCGACCTTGCGTATGGCGCGTTTTTCCTATCAAAATTCAATTTTTTAGTCGTTTTTACTTACGACCTTCGTTTTTCAATTTCAGCATTCCTTTTATTCAACCTTAACATTCGTTTTTCAATATCAGTTTTTTTATTGAATCTTTTATTCAACCTTGACATTCGTTTTTCAACTTCAACATTCGTTTAATTTAACCTTGATAGTTGTTTTCTGAGTTCGACATTCGTTTAATTCAAGCGCGACATTTGTCATTCGTTTTCCTTATTTTCAACCTTGACATTCGTTTTATGTAACCATGACAGTCGTTTTTCAAGATCGACATTCGTTTTATTGAAGCGTAACGTTCGTGTATTGACGTCGACTCTCTCTCTTTTTTTTACGTTCAACATTCGTTTTCTTAATGGAAATTAGTTTTATTTAACCGAGATTTTTGTTTAAGTTGAGAAATTGACAGGTCAGAATCCTTCAGTCGGTTGTGAATAGTTGCCACTGGCACATCAAACATGCGCGCCATGTCCATTGTTTTAAACCCATAATCACTCAAGTATGATAAATGGCTTTCGGTAATGATAAGCTTTGGCCTACCAGGCGAGGCTCTTTGCTCAGCTTATGAATGGAAATGAGTGCTTTGCAGGGAGTCTCGCTTTTCTGTTAGCAAATCGACGACATTTCTCAGCTTTGTTATCGTAGATTCCTCTATCATATGAACAAATGCAAGATGCACACCATGGTGATTTAACAGGCTAGCACGAGTGTACAAATTGTCAAAATCGTGCTGTAAGCTCTCTTCCTCGCCGCTACTATCGGAGAACAGCACTTCCAAAGTGATCTAACCCTAGAAAGGAAAATCTCTTTCGCAGATGGATCAGACATCCTTGCTAGACACACTTTTCCCACAGTTGGCGCTCGACCCAGATCTTATTGTACGTCACGTCTGATTAAAACACGAATGACAAACTGGAAACAAATGTCACGCTTGAGTAAAACGAACGGCTATTWAAAAAAAACTAATGTTGAACTTAAAACAAAGACAAAGTGGACGTCAATACACGAACGTTACGCTTGAATAAAACTATTGTCGATCTTGAAAAACGACTGTGATGGTTACATAAAACGAATGTCAAGGTTGAAAATAAGGAAAACGAATGACAAATGTCACGCTTGAGTTAAACAAATGTCGAACTCAGAAAACCTATCAAGGTTAAATACAACGAATGTTGAAGCTGAAAAACGAATGTCAAGGCTGAATAAAAGGAATACTGAGATTTGAAAAACGAATGTTAAGGTTGAATAAAAGGAATGCTGAAATTGAAAAACGAAGGTCGTA